TGCAGATCAAGTTGCTAAAAAGAAGGGAGGAGATACCAAATTGACCCTGACCTTACAGAAAAGGGCAAAGAAGGGAAGAGAAAGAGCATGGTAAAAAGCTTAGGTCCTATAAGATCCTGCTAATCATATCTCATTTTTAAATTATTTTTCCATTGCCACTATTCTAGTTCAAGCCATGAAACCTCTTTTCTGAGTTTTATAAATCTTGCTAATTGTTTTAAAAACCTCCAGATTCTCATAGAAGTCACTCTCTACTGCCCAGTGCCACCTCTAGGAAATATATCTTTATACATCCCATATCCTTACACAAGAACCCTAAATGAATCCTAAAGCACAAAAGAATGGTATTGGAACATCTGGAAATTCAGTTTAAAAATAATAATTTGAAAACCTACTTCATATCATACATAAAAGTTAATTTCAGACATATTGGACCTAATTGTAAGTCTTAAGCCTATAAAGCTTCTGAAAGACCAAGCAGTATATCTTCATGACCTTGGGGTAGGCACACTTGGCTAAAACTTTCTAGTTTCTTAGAAATAGCCCAAGGCAATTATGGAATGTCTTAAAAATGGAAAGATTTAAATTCCCTCCAAATTGATAAGCAACTCAAAGTTTCAAAGCCACTCTAATCAGAACCCAAATGAGGGTTTATTTTAATAGGACTTGATGTAAATGTGTTTAGAAAAGCAAAGGTCTATGAACAGTCATATTGCTGAAATAGAAGGAGGAAGAGCTGAGACTTTAAAAATATCATGGCTTATTCTGAAGGTATAGTTATTAAAACAGTGTGACAATAGTGCAAGGTTAGACAAATTGGCAAAACAAATTGAGCAAAAACATGTCAAGTAGATGTGGAAATTAGATATGTGACAGAGGACATACTAGATTGTGGGAAGAATGGAGCTATTTAATAATTACACTTGTAAGAATGGTTATTCATAGGGAAAAATAGAGTCCACATACTAAATTCAACTTCAAATGGCATTAAATGTCAAAAACTTTCAAAATTTTATTGTAGAGTATAAATTTTTTAGAGACAGAAATGGTTTCTTAAGCTAAAAAATATGCTTGACATTTTTTAAAAAGACCAATAAATCATATTACATTTAATGATTTGATACCAAAAGCAAAGACAACAAAAGCAAAAATAAATGGGACTACACTAACTGAAAATTTCTGCACAGCCAAGAAAACCACCAACAAAATGAAAAGGCAACCAACTGAATGAGAGAAAATATTTGCAAGTCATAAATTTGATAAGGGGTCAATATCCAAAATATATAAAGAACTCTTCTGACTCAATAACTGTAGAGCAATCTAATTAAAAATTGGGCAGAGGAAATGAACAGATTTTCCAAAAAGGACATTAAAATAACCAACAGGCACATGAAAAGATACTCATCACTACTTATCAGGGAAATGCAAATCAAAACCACAATGAGCTGTCACCTTACACTATTAGAATGGCTATTATAAAAAAGATAAGAAATAACAAGTGTTGGCAAGGATGTGGAGAAAAGGGAACTCTCCAGCACCATTGGTGGGAATGTAAATTGGGATAGCCACTATGGAAAACAGTCTGAGGTTTCTCAAATATTAAAAATAGAACTACCAGCGGCTCCTGGGTGGCTCGGTCAACTGAGCGTCTGACTTGGTTTTGGCTCAGGTTGTGATCATATGGGTTGTGGGATCGAGCCCTGCATCAGGCTCCCTGCTCAGGGCGGAATCTGCTTGAGATTCTCTGCCCTGCCTCACTGCCGCATTCGTGTGAGCTATCTCTCAAATAAATAAATCTTAAAAAAAAAAAAATAGGACTACCATATGATGCGGCATTTCCACTTCTGGGAATATATGCAAAGAAAATGAAAACACTAACTTGCAAAGGTATCTGCACTCACCCCCCTCCATGTTCATTTCAGCATTATTTACAATAGCCAAGATATGGAAACAACCTAAGTGTCCATCAATAGATGAATGGATAAAAAAAATGTGAAATATATATGCAATGGAATATTAGTCATTAAAAAGCATGAAATCTTGCCATTTACTGTAACAACATGGATGGACCTCGAGGGCATTATGTGAAGTGAAATAAGTCAGACCAAGAAAGACAAACACCATATGATCTCAGTATGTGTGGAATCTTAAAAAAAAAAAAAAAAACAACTACTAAGTTCATAGATACAAAGAACAGATTGGTGTGGCAAGAGGC